CGGGATCTATACTTCATATGATTTCTGAAGCAAGAAGAAATGTTGAAAAATGGTTTTTCTACAGATAACGATGGTAATGACAGATCACGAGTGCAAAAAATAGAAGTGATTATTTCCAAAAAATAATGAAGTGCAAAGTAAACATGAAATTAAAGCTTACATCCGTAGAAAGTTCGAGCCAAAATTTGCATTCTCATAGAAGAACATGCTTTTGTGAAATTTTGTCTGAAGATCCGAAAAGTTTTATGAAATTTATTAAAATATGTATTCAAGCAAGCAGTATGCTGGGCCTTTTATATTTCATATCCAAAAAAAATTTCAGACAAATTTCAGCATATTTTATGGCATATTGTCATACTCAGATCATTTCCTCATGTAACTATCCTAAGACTCATTCGATACGAATACAAGCCTTTGTTACTTGATCATTTAATCCAATTGTGAAACTGGTGATGACCTATGGTCACAACACTTTTTCTAACCAACCTCATAAGCTCGTCCACTTCACTCTCACTCATCGTTCGTTTCTCGTCTCGCTTTCTGCAAACATTGGAAGTAAAGTAATAAATCCACTACTCTAAAACGTTCAACTTTTCATCACTCCACTCAGTTATTTTTAGAAAAAAGAGCAAATTCAATCATTCATTTTTCTAGGCTCTCAACTATTCGTTCCTCAGTCAATTAGTTTAAGAAAGGAACATTTATAAATTACAGTTGAAAAAGTTTTTAAGCAAAACCTCAGCTTACTGGTCGAATCATTAACTGTGGATATTTCATGGGTCGTAGTTTCATCTAAGTCATTTGATTCATTAAGTAGGAGAGGAGGTGTACATGTTGGTACTAGTCGAAATACATAGTCCTGTGACTTGCCCTCTTCACTATAGCTTGTGTTCAATTCATTTGTTACACTTTTTCGTCGTAATTTCGGCAATATTTTGCCTTAAATGAATCACATTTCATTATCTGTGAGTATTTCATAGCGAATACGTTATTTGAAAGTTACTTGACAATTTTCGAATCACCAGATTAGTTTGGTAGTGGATACGGTTTCTTAGTAATTGTCAAATAATTAATAATTAGTAATTAATGATAATGATAATAATAATAATAATAACAATAATAATAACAGTAATAACAACAATAATAATAACAATAATAATAATAATAATAATAATAATAATAATAATTAATAATAATAATAATAATAATAATAATAATAATAATAATAATAT